CTGGACCCAGATGCTTGTACACTTCTCACAAATGCTTGGCTGCCAGTTGACATATTTCCTAAGATGTGCACCTTCATATGATAACCCTATACTGCACGAAAATTGACAGTATTCTGAGGCAGATTTTTACGAAAGTACTTAACCTTACTCTAGAAGACGGGCAGTGGGAACCAAGCACACTTCCAGTCAGACTAGGAGGGCATTGGTGTCCGCAAGTCATCACAGATTGCGTTACCTGCTTTTTTGTCCTCGTGTATTGCATCCAGAGAGCTTGTAGCAGCGATTCTCCCTGAACATCTTAGGACAAGATTGGAGCCCAGGACCAAAAATTCATTGACGAAGCAATGATCTGGGATAATCTAACGGCTCAGAAACCAGACCTGCTCCCCCCAACAACTACAAACAATCGCACTGGGATGGTCCAATAGTGGAAAATATAGCCTCAACGATGCTTCAGAGTGTGTCAGGGAAGGATAGAGCCCGCCTGCTGGCAGTGAGAGCCCCTCATGCTGGGGACTTTCTGTTGGCTGTTCCCAACTCCAGCCTTGGCACACGCCTCGACCCACAGACCATCCGCATCGGTGTTGCCCTTCGACTTGCCGCCCCTATTCTCGCCGAACACAGGTGTATTTGTGGCAGTGAAGCAGCAGACCGATTCGGGTACCATGGTCTTGTGTGCCGTAAATCGAGGGAAAGATTGCAAGACATGAGGAGGTTAATAACATTATCAAGAGGAGCCTCACAACAGCTGGATGCCCAGCAGTAAGGGAGCCACCCCAACTATGCAGATCTGATGGCAGCCAGAAGCGTCCAGATGGTATCACCCTTCAAGCCTGGACAGATGGGAAGTAGGTGGTGTGGGACTATACATGTGCATCTACCTTGGCTGATACCTATCTCCAATACACCAGGGAGGAAGGAGGGGCAGCTGCCAGCTTTAGGGAGTCCCAAAAGTCTAGAAAATATGGAGAACTTGCCCATCATTATATGTTTGTTCCCATAGGCTCAGAGACCCTTGGCTCATGGGGAAAGAGTGCATCTAATTTCCTTAAGGAGCTGGGAAAAAGACTCATCAGGGTAACTAGGGATCCCAGGGCAGCTAGTTTTCTGTTCCAGCGGCTCAGTGCGGCTGTTCAAAGGGGTAATGCATGCTGCATTTTGGGCACACGCCCCAGCTCTGAGGAGCTGGATGAGATTTTCGCCTTATAATCGGTGATACACACGTAACAACATGTACCGTATATGCCACCTTTATATCAACAATGTATCTCTTAAATCTTCTGTGCCATATTATGTAATAAAAATATATATATATATATATATATATATATTATATATATATATATATATATATATATATATATATATATATTATATATATATATATATAATAATAATATATATAAAATATATATATATATATACTGAAGTTTTGATCTAGTTATTTACAAATCTAAACATTAATTTTTCATGTCTAAGTTTTGCCCACTTTGTCAGATCAGTCAGCAAGGAGTAATAATATTTGTTAGGTTTCTACTGGGGCTGCTGCTGGGATAAAGAGCCACTATATCCAAATGTATTGAGTATTGCTTCCCAGTGTCTAGCAAGGAAATATTGCTCCAATTTAATGACCCTTATCAGTTTAGCGCTTTCTTTGATTATAATAATAATAACGTTCCATCTAAGAGGTATTAGGAGTGGGAACATAGGTTCCTCTTGGAAATTACAGGAAACCAGCATTCCCAGACATGACTGGGAACCTCCCTGCTTAAACCAAGGCAGAACAAGAAGCTCGCACCATACCCAGGTCAATGACTGACCTGGGTATGTTTTCTACGGTGGCTTATAGCTCACAACCGAAGGACCCAGGTTCAATCCATGGTTGGGTGGTGATGTTTGGCAAACTATTACCTTATACCACTGTCTTTATTCAACTAACAATAAGTAAGCTCCCAGGTGTTAACCACCTGTTATGGGTCAAATCTTGGAGAAGAGGACAAAAGGATCCCAATAAAAATAAGCCACACTGCTTAGTTTTTGTCTTTTCTGAGTTACTAACCACCCAGGTTAATAATCTGAAGAAAATTCTACAACTGTTCAAAAATCTTTAACAGTAATGTTTGGCACCCAGATATGTACCCACCAGGCAAAGAATAATGACATGCATCCCAAAAAGAAAAACAGGTGAAATTCGTCACACACATACTAAGGACAGAGCAAGATATCTGCACCGTGTAAGAGGAAGTCATTAACTTTTCAAATCACTAATGTCAGTGAGTTATCTAGGCAGCAGCTTTGGTAATACATGTATTAAATTATAACCAAATATAATTACAAGTTACCCAACAAATCTCTGGTTTAGGTTTGGTCAGTGTTTGCTAATAGTTTCATTAAATTTCAATATATACAGAAATTTTTGCCAGTAGGAAAATATCTGAGATATCTGACTGACTAGCAGCAAATAAAACCCAGTGAAAAGTTTCTAGTATACCTGGAATATACCTGAAGAAGATTTCTGGGGTCAATGCCCCCATGGCCTGGTCTGTGACCAGGCCTCATGGTGCATCAGGGCCAGATCAACCAGGCTGTTACTGTTGGCTGCACACAACCCGATGTACGAACCATAGCCTGGATGTTCAGGTACTGATTTTAGGTGCCTGTCCAGTGCCTTCTTGAAGACAGCCAGGGGTCTATTGGTAAGCCCCCTTATGTATGCTGGGAGGCAGTTGAACAGTCTTGGGCCCCTGACACTTATTGTGCTAGTGGCACCCCTGCTTTTCATTGAGGGGGGATGTTACATCATCTGCCGAGTCTTTTGCTTTCATAGGGAGTGATTTTCATGTGCAAATTTGCTACTAATTCCTCTAGGACTTCCCAAGTGTATATAATCATGTCTCTCTCCCGCCTGCATTCTAGGGAGTACAGGTTGAGGAACTTCAAGCGTTCCCAGTAATTGAGGGGTTTTATCACAGCTGTGTGGCATGAAGGTTCTCTGTACATTTTCTAGGTCAGCAATTTCACCTGCCTTGAAAGGTGCTGTTAGTGTGCAGCAATATTCCAGCCTGGATAGAACAAGTGACCTAAAGAGTGTCATCATGGGCTTGGCATCCCTAGTTTTGAAGGTTCTCATTATCCATCCTGTCATTTTTCTAGCAGATGCAATTGATACAATGTTATGGTCCTTGAAGGCGAGATCCTGTGACATGATCACTTCCAGGTCTTTTACGTTAGTTTTTCATTCTAATGTGTGGTTGGAATTTGCTTTACACTCCAATGTAGTTTTAATTTCCTCACATTTTCCATATCGGAGTAATTGAAATTTCTCATCATTTAATGTCATAATGTTTTCTGTGGCCCATTTAAGGATTTGGTTGATGTCCACCTGGAGTCTTGCAGTGCCTTCAATGGAGGAGAGTCATGCAAATTCAGGTGTCATCTGCAAAGGAAGACACAGTGCTGTGGTTTACATCCCTGTCTATGTCAGATACGAGGATGAGAAATAGGATGCGAGTGAGTACTGTGGCTCGTGGAACAGAGCTTTTCACCGTAGCCGCCTCAGACTTTACTCTGTTTACTACTGATCTTTGTGTTCTATTTGTTAGGAAATTATAGATCCACCTACCAACTTTTCCTGTTATTCCTTTATCACGTATTTTGTGGAATATTAATTTTTTATAATAAAAAGGATTTCCTTTTGACAAAACTGATCCACCACACTACTGTTGTTCTAGCACCTGTATAAACCTCTCTCACAAACTTCTCAAATATTTTTTCCCTGGCTACATCACAATTTATAACACGGCAACTTGTAGTCCAGTAGTAACACCTACAGCTCACATCTATAAGACCAGAGTCTGATGCTATTGCCCCTATTCACCCACCACAAGGTTAAGTAGGTACCTGGGTGTTAGTTGACTGTTGTAAGCCGCATCCTGGGCAAAAGGATTAAAGACCTCAATAAGCCAGAGTGGCTTTCTTGGCTACCTGGAGTTTACCTGGAGAGAGTTCCGGGGGTCAACGCCCCTGCGGCCCGGTCTGTGACCAGGCCTCCTGGTGGATCAGAGCCTGATCAACCAGGCTGTTGCTGCTGGCTGCACACAAACCAACGTACGAGCCACAGCCCGGCTGGTCAGGAACCGACTTTAGGTGCTTGTCCAGTGCCAGCTTGAAGACTGCCAGGGGTCTGTTGGTAATCCCCCTTATGTATGCTGGGAGGCAGTTGAACAGTCTCGGGCCCCTGACACTTATTGTATGGTCTCTTAACGTGCTAGTGACACCCCTGCTTTTCATTGGGGGGGATGTTGCATCATCTGCCAAGTCTTTTGCTTTCGTAGTGAGTGATTTTCGTGTGCAAGTTCGGTACTAGTCCCTCTAGGATTTTCCAGGTGTATATAATCATGTATCTCTCCCACCTGCGTTCCAGGGAATACAGGTTTAGGAACCTCAAGCGCTCCCAGTAATTGAGGTGTTTTATCTCCGTTATGCGCGCCGTGAAGGTTCTCTGTACATTTTCTAGGTCAGCAATTTCACCTGCCTTGAAAGGTGCTGTTAGTGTGCAGCAATATTCCAGCCTAGATAGAACAAGTGACCTGAAGAGTGTCATCATGGGCTTGGCCTCCCTAGTTTTGAAGGTTCTCATTATCCATCCTGTCATTTTTCTAGCAGATGTGATTGATACAATGTTATGGTATCTTAGATTATTAACCCTTCAGATTAATAATTCGAATAAAATTCTAACCAGAAATGTAACAATAATATAATCAAAATAAGCACCAAACCCAAAAGGGTCTTCAGGAAATGTAAACCCAACAAATACTTAAAACACAATATGTTAAGAAATAACTACATCAAACTTCAGTTTTAAAACTCAAATAATTTGCTCTTAACCTTAAACTATAGATGCATTATTCAAAAACTGCATCACAAATTTTCCATATAGACAAGAATCAACACGGGAATAAAAAAAAAATCCCCCTTAAAAAAAATATTGAAAAACTCACCAGGTTGTTCCTAGGTTTCCTTTAGGGTTTCATAGTTATCACAGTACTTGACTGCAAAATTTCGATATATTTCAGGAGTTTGAAAGGTAATTAAGACTGGTTAATAGCGGAAATATATATATAGTGTAAGTGGATGGTGGGAGTCTTCATGACTGGCTACCACGACTCTCACCACTCTTTACCTCCACATTTAACAGTTCCACTCAGCTTTGCTTCATCCTGGATGTCTCTCGACGTTGATAACCGCCTGTTTCAGCCAAGAAAATATATTATAAAACCCGAAAAATCGTGGGGTAGAGGGCAGCAGTACTCAATGGTTGAGAGTCGCTTCCACACCACCTCGCTGAATATCTCTCATATGGAAGAAAATGTCGACTCTTACTAGGGTAACTTTCCTAAATTTTCTGCATTGCGGTAAGTAGGGTTAGTAAGTGATATATGTACTATATAGAAGGCCCATGGTCAGTAAGTTTATTTTGGTATAGGTATATATAAGTACAAGTATCATACATGGTGTAAATTATCTAGATTAATATAAAAAATCAGCGATTTATTTCCATTGGGATCTTTTTGAGTAAGTTTAAATAAAGTAAAAAGTGTGCAGGTTTAGGTAAACGTGAGTGAGTGAATAAGTCAGTAAGTCAACCAGTCAGTAAGTGATAAATTAGACACATGTGCAACTCTTGGGTATCTTTATTGAGGAAACGTTTCGCCACACAGTGGCTTCATCAGTCCATACAAAGGAGAATCTTGAAGAACAGGAGGAGAATGAGGTAATCAGTCCCTCAACCTTGAGTCGATGTGGTCAGTCCATCAATCTTGAATAGAATACGGCATACGTGCTGAGAAGGAGCTTATAAACCGTTGGCAGGAGAGGTGCAGCAGTCATAGGTCGTGTAACATTTGTTCAATGTTGAAGTAGGTCGTGCCCAAGAATTAGGCAAGCGAAGAATTCCCAAGTATTAAGATCCCAAGAAGTTGCAGTGTCTGACAGGTTTGTAGATGAATGGTTCAGAGAACCGACATGTTGATAAATTAGACACATGTGCAACTCTTGGGTATCTTTATTGAGGAAACGTTTCGCCACACAGTGGCTTCATCAGTCCATACAAAGGAGAATCTTGAAGAACAGGAGGAGAATGAGGTAATCAGTCCCTCAACCTTGAGTCGATGTGGTCAGTCCATCAATCTTGAATAGAATACGGCATACGTGCTGAGAAGGAGCTTATAAACCGTTGGCAGGAGAGGTGCAGCAGTCATAGGTCGTGTAACATTTGTTCAATGTTGAAGTAGGTCGTGCCCAAGAATTAGGCAAGCGAAGAATTCCCAAGTATTAAGATCCCAAGAAGTTGCAGTGTCTGACAGGTTTGTAGATGAATGGTTCAGAGAACCGACATGTTCAACATGTCGGTTCTCTGAACCATTCATCTACAAACCTGTCAGACACTGCAACTTCTTGGGATCTTAACATATGTGTAGAGAACCTAGGATAACCCAAAAAAGTCAGTGACTTATTTCCACTGGGGTCCTTCATTTCCAGGTGGGCTTACTGGAGACCCTGAGCCGTCACGGGCCTTAACCCGGGAATTAAAACAGGTGGGTATACTGGATCCATGAGGTATCATGGGCCTTAACACAGGAGTTAAGCCATTTGTGTTTACTCTGGATCCCCGAGCCGTCACAGGCCTTAACACGGATTAAGACAGGTGGGTTTACTGGGCCCCTTAGCAGTCACAGGCTTTAACACAGGGGTTAAGGCAGGTAGGTTTACTGGACCCCTGAGCTATCACGGGCCTTAACACAGGAGTTAAGACAGGTGGGTTTACGGGACCCATAAGCCGTCGGGGGGATTTAAATGTAAAAATTTGTCCCAAACAATATGAAAGGGGAAGTGGGGAAAGGGGTTTGGGAAACCAAGGGTAAAAAAATAACGAGAAACCCGGGGAGGGCCAATGGTTCCCCCCAAAGGGTTTGAAAGGGACCCCAAAACCAAGTATGCTAGAGGAGGGAAAAAAGTAAAAAAGGGGCAAAGAACCCAGGGGAAGGGGGAAAAAGCATGGGTAGAGCCAGAAATGAAAAATTGCAAAGATAAGAAGGGGGGCCCAACGAAAATCCCAAAAATGACATAGCGGAAAAAGTCAGATCTGATCCAAAAGCTTTTTACCCCAAAAGGGAAGAAAAAAAACAGTAAAGAATCGGTAATCAGGCTGGGGAAAACGAAGGAGGGGGGGGATCACAATAAACGACCACGAAGTATTTTGAGGAGCTAAAACATGAGTTTCAAAGAAGTTTTCACAGAGGAAACAAAAGGGGAACCCCCGGAAAGAGGGGAAAAGGGTGGGGTACACCAAAAAGTGATGGAAAAAAGTACATACAATCGAGAAAAAAAGGTGAAGAAGTGCTAAGCGAGCTAAAATTCCCCCAAAGGCGATGGGGCCGGATAAAAAAAATCTCCCCCGGGGTTCGAGAGGGGGAGTTTTGTGATAGAAACACGGGCCTTATCTCTAGGTTTTTATTAAACCCATAGAATTTCATATTTACTTCTACAAAAACAACATATAATGACTAGTATTTATTTATTTATTTATTTTTTTTAAATTATAAGGGATGGTGATTTTTTCCTTGCATATGTCAAGAGAAAAGTTATAACTCGGGCCCCCATTTTAAACTCACCTGTAATCTGCATTGCGGTTTAAATGGATAAAGTAAGAGGGGAATCACAAAACCAAGGGTGTTGGTCCCCTACACAAAAAAAAAACTGTTGTTGTTTTTAAAGGGGCCCCTTTTAGAGGGGTGCAGTATTATCCGGGCTGCTGCCCCCCCAAAAGGCCCGGGACATTTAAAATCCCCCCCTTCAAAAAATATCAAAGACATTTAAATCCCCCCCAAATTTTAGGTGGGCGCCCTACACGCCCCGGGAACCTTCGTACCCTTTGGGCCCCCTTTTTCACCATTCGATTTTCCAGGGGGGTTTTTGATTAATGCTGGGCAGAACCCTCTATTTCCTTAGGGGGGTGTCTCAAGGGGTTTCCCCAGGGGGAAAAACGAAGCTTTTTTCACTTTAAATTGGTGTATCTTGGGGATTCCACACAAAAGGGGGATTTAAACTGGGGCAAATTCTTGTAGATATCCCAAATGAGGAAAATCTGGGACAAAAATCACAAGGGTTTTAAAAAAGAGGATAACATCAAAGCTGCTTTCATAGAAAACCCTGGAAGTTTTTTCTAAACAATGGGAAATAAAAATTTTCCGGGGTTAAAGGGGTACTGCCCTTGTTCTGGCCTTTGTAGTCACAAACTGTAAGGCTGGGGTGATGCCCCTGGAAATAGTAAATGTGGGGCTAAATAGTGCTGTCCTGGGAGACAAAATGGTGAAGCGGGAAAGGTGCTGCCCGGGGGAGACAAAAAATAGTAAAGCTGGAGATCCCTGCCTGGGAGCCAGAAAGGGTGAAGCTGGAGATTTTGTCCGGGTAGGGGGGAATTATACGGGGAAAGGGGAAACATAAAAAAAGGGGGGGGGCCCCCCCCTCATAGAGGACAGGAGCCCTGGAAGGGAAACAAGTTAGTCAAAGATAAGTTTAAAACCAATAATTGAAAACTAAAAAAACCGCGGGAAATAGCAAACAAGAGGCTCCAATAGAAATTTGTGAGGATAAATTACCAAAAAAAATTTGGTGGGAGCCCCATTTTTTTGGTTTGCAGGGGGTTTGGAGAAAGGGACGGGGAAAACATGCACCAACGGGGAATACAGTCACAAAAACCCCAAAGGCAAAGGGAAAACCAACCCTGTCCATCTTTTGCATTGGTATTGCGGGCAGGGGAAAATTTGGGAAAAAAAACAGAAGGGGACATGAAAACTATGACCACCCTAGAAAAATTTTCAGGGCCCATATGACAACGGGAAAATCCCAAACCCCCTTTCCTGTAAAAAGTTTTTTTACCTAAAAATGTGTCCTTTTTCATTTACGGGAAAAGATGTGCTTTAAATTTAAAATTTGCCAGGCATACCATCTAAAGGGGCAAAAAGATAAAAAAACATCCGGGCCCAGGGGGAAAACCTGGGGGCCACAGCCACCCCAAGGGGAGAGGTTTTTTAGTCCCAGGAAGGAAAAAAAAGGCGGGAAAAGGGGCAGAAATGGGACACCAAATTCATCTTTCCCCTGGAGTGGAACCACAGTCGGGGGCCTCCACCCCCAAACCAACGATACAGATACTAATCCGGGAAAAAAAAAAATTCCCCCCCCCAGTAAAACAATACCCCCAGCCCGAAAACTTTCTTCTTTGCAAATATACAGGGTCAAAAAGCCAAAACAAAAAACAAAATCCTTTTCATCCGTGGACTGCTTGCAGGGGCAAAGGCAATGTTCCCCGGCTTTAAATGAGACCCCCCAAAAAAGGCCCACTTGGACCCCCCGAAATATGGACCCCAGGTTAAAAACCTAAAAAGATGTGCCCCGGGAGTGAACAGGAAAAAGGGGGGGGTTTGGGCCCTTACATTGCGGGAGTTATTTTTGGGCCACGAACTGTTAAATTCCCAAAGGACGAAAGTGGAAGTTTTTAGCAGTAAAGGTCGAAAAACCAAAACCTGCCCTTGTGGTAGTCACAAGCCCCCGGATGCAACTCCCAGCAATTGGGGGAACAGCTTTTAAAAAAATTGACCACTCGGGAAAAATTTTTCCCCCTCCTGCCCCCAAAACATCTTGCTCCGGGGGGTTTTCAACTTAAGGCACCTAAAATGGGGGAATATAGCAAAATATTGTTGCAGTAATAACCCAGGGGGCCGCTCGGGATAAAAAACTCACCCCACACGAGCTTTTAAATCTTTTGCACAAAATTAAATTTAAACCCCAGCAAATAATAGACCCTTTAATAGCCCTGGGGGAAATACATGGGACCTTTTTTCCCACAAAAATGATGATTGAAAAGAAAGGGCACCATATAAAAAAACAAATACTCGATCAAACAAAATTTGAGGTTCAAAATGAAATGCGTGGGGCCCCCAAACCGAAAAAAATGAGATAGTCACGAGGGACATTCAAAAAAACCCAATTTTTCAATAAAAAAAAAATTAAAGGGGGGCCCCCAAGAAAACCAAAAGTCCAAACCCGATAAAAAGGGGGGAAGATTACTAAGCAACACAGACCCAAACTTATGCCTAGAACAAAATTAACTCGGTGGCACTCGATGAAAGGCACAAGGTTTATTCCTCAAAAGAAAAAGGAGGAGTAGATGTAAAATGGGAAGAGCCCAGGCGCTCCCTTTACGGGGCCGACGGAAAAGAAAAACCCAGGGGGGGGGCTAAAAGAGGTCAATATATCTAAAAATGCGCAGGGAAAAACCCTGTCGAAAAAATAGAAAGCACGA